TAATAAATAGTACATAAGTAATATACTTAATTGCTTCTTTAGCCATATTAAACTTTTGATGTAATTATTTACTTTAATAAAATATTAACCGTTATTTATATACCCTTAAAATAAATGCTAAGCAATTTAGTTTTGCAATACATTTCAATTAATGCTTGGTAATCATTAAGGATGTTGCTGAAATATGAATTTCATATGTATGATCAGTAAATTTCTTTAAATGTTAAATAATGATAGAAAATATACTATAGACATGAGTTTCATTGAATAAATTAACGCGTACATTTATATTTATTATATTTGCAATTATTCTGTATAACAATATTGCTTTTTAATAATTAGGTGCAATCTATTTTTAAATTGTTTATGGACATTATTTTTATTGAAAATATGATGGTTATAAGTGGGGTAAATTAATTTTGAAATAATCGTTAAACTACATTGTTAATTCTACATTTTATTGTTTACAAGCAATTTATATTTAATTTGTTTTATTATATTATAATGTACAAATAAATTTTAAACTGCAGGACCGTCGCTACCACCACACGCTGCGCAACCTGGGCCAATACAGTCGCAGTGAGCTAGTTCATATAAATAGTAAAATAAATTAATACAACACAAGTATTATAATGTATTTAATTTAATAATACAAATTATAACTTAATCTTTATATTATATTAATTTAAAATTTTCACAAACTATTATACGTTGTTACAGATATTAAAAGTAATTGTAAGTAATAGTAATTGTTATAATAAACAAATGTAGAGTTTAGTACATAAAAATTTCATGTATATGAAAATTTAATTAAGCAAAAAGTAATTTAGTCAGACATTTTTATTAATAAAGTATAAATTCTAAAGTTAATATTACCTAAATTACCTAATGCAGTCCCAAGATATTGCAGCAAGATGATAATGAATAGTACATAGGAAATATACTTAAATGTTTCGTTAGTCATATTAAACTTTTTAAATTAAAAGTTATAAAAGAAATAATAACTGCTTATTTAATTATTTACTGTTATTATATACCCTTTATATAAATGCTAAGCAATGTTGTTTTGTAATACATTTCAATTAATGCTTGGTAATTATTAAGGATGTTAATCAAACAAGAAATTAGATTTCTTTAAATGTTAATTTATGATAGAGAATATACTATACATGTATAGATTTTATTATGTTTGCAATTATGTTGTCTAACTATAATAATATTAATTTTCAAACTGTAAGCAATAGATTATTACAAAACATGTATTGCTTAATTATTTAGTTATTGAAAATTTAACATAATACAATTAGCGATAAGAATTAATTATCATATCGTAATTATGATCATGTTTAGCTCTAACGGTAAACCTAAATAAAGCAGACAAATTAATTTTGTTAATTTTTAAAAGTTTTATTTAAATTACATATTACACATTCTTTTAATTAAACAATTAAAAGTTTAAATTTAAAATAAATTAAAAAATATATGTCAAATAATGATATAATAGTCTAGACATGGAATGTATTGTAAGTTACATTAATAATATATTTAAAGTGTTATAAAATAAAAGTTGCAAATAATAGCATGTTCAGATAGATAACAATGAATAATGTTCAAGTTGGAAGTGGAGTAGTGCAGCATGGTTCAGTACCTGGACACCCATTACCATTTACACATATGCAACAATCATTAGCAGCTATTATAAAAATAATACAGTTTAGCATGGTTATTTATTGATAATATAATAAATTACACAGTATTATTAGTATAACTATAAATAACAAATATTATTATATAACATGATAAAAAAAAACATTTTTAAAAATGTTCTTTTTGTTATACATGTTTGGTATGTTTGGACCTGTTTTTAAGGGATTGTAATTTTTTATACTTTAAACAAATATACTGTGTATACAAGTAGTAGTAGTGTGACCAACCGTACACTATTAGGCAGTACATTACACTATTTGAGACCTCTGTACACTATTTTCAGACTGTACACTATTGTACACTATTTGTAAATTATTCTTATAAAAATATAAAAACCATAAAATGGATTTATTTTTACTAAACGTATATAAAATATATTTATTTTTGTATTATTAGTGTCCAATTAATACAAAACTCATTATATTACTTACACATTATTTACATCAAATTGATACAAAACTCATTGTATTAGTTACACATTATTTATATCAAATTGATACAAATCTCATTATATTAGTTATACATTATTTACACTGTTTGAATTTCGTTAAAAAATTTATGTACACTATTTGTACACTATTTTAGCCTCAATTTTATCATTTTGTACACTATTGGTCAAAACCGAGTTGGTCACACTACAAATAACTTCAATTTTTACATTAACATTCATGTAAATATAAGTTGTATATCTTGTAATATACTGTAATAACTATAAAAGCAAATTAAACTTAAAAGTTTTAATTTTGATGATTAGTTTTGTTTTAAAATTACACAACATTTCTGTTTTGGTAAAATGTTTTAGAAAAAAGCATTGTTTTATCGATAATTTGAACATAAAAAACGAGATCTGAAATAGAGATCCAATTTATTTTTTCCACTCCTTATTATTTTATTTGAACGTCAAATCAAAAACCAATACTTTGTAAGTCTATAAGCAGTTAAGTCCGGCGTTTGTGAACAACATATTTATATATTAAATATATAGCTATAGCTAATCATTGGTCATACAATCAGAATTACAGCACATATACTAATAATTTATTTGTGTCTCCAATAGATCATTAGGTAAGAGATTAATGTTTACTCATTTATCAGATGTTAGGCTAATGTCGCAAAATGTTGGCTAAATTTGGTCCCTTAATAGCCATACAATCGGTTTTTATGTGATATTTTGTCTAAATATTGGTCTCATTTTTATTCGCAATATTATTCCTGTCTTTGAGTTTTTCATTCAAATAATTGATAAAAATATTTACAAAACCATTCTCTCTCTCTCTCTCTCTCTCTCTCTCTCTCCTGACGTTTACAGAATTTCTTTTTTTGTGTGTATTTTGTCAGTGAATTGCATAAAAACGCTAAAAATAGCATTAAATTTGTGCGTTTTTGTTCACTTTAAGCTTTGAATTAGAAATGTTTTTTGTTTGACTTTTAGAAAATGTCAAAATATGTTTCAATGAATTGAAGAGATTATTGAAATTTTAATATAAAAACTATTAGTATTATATAAATAGAGGAATTTAGTTACAAATCAAAAACAGATTAACCATTTGTTTGTAAGAGTACTACTCGTGTCTGAATGAATAAAAAATGATATTCAAAGCGGTTTTTTGCTAAAAATGAATTAATACTTATAATAGCTATGTTTGCCAAACGCAATGAAATAAGTTATAGTATATTCTCTGTGTTTATATATAAAGCTATGGGAATAAGTAATACTAATCCCAACACTTTATTGTAATTATTTGAGTATTAGTAGAGGAGATGAGAGACGAACTGTTTGTTTAATCCATCTTCAGTTCATTCAATTCGTGTAATACTTGTGTATAAACTATACGTTTGGAAACATAGAGTTTCACCGATTTTCTCAGCAATAATGCCACGAGAATTGTGTGCATATCCATCAAAACATAGCCATTTCTGAATAAATATATATTTTTAAATTGCAATTCTTGTGCCAAAACATAGTTTTAGTATTTCTATACTTTTAGTTTCCATTAAATAAATATATATTTTCTACATTTTGCATCATTTTTGGATTCATCAGTAGTTTGGATGCAATCATTCACTTAATAATGGTTTTGTATTTTTGTAAATATAGCCCAATATATAGAATGTCTTAGAGAGAGAGAACTAAAGTGTGAATTACATCGAAAGATAATAGCATAAAATCAGCAAATATTTTAATGGATTCCGTAATTCAAAAGCTTTTATATTATAGTTTTCTCCCCAACAAAAAAAGTTAATAAATATACGATAAAACTATTAGAGAGTAATAGAATGTGTTTTAGAGGATTGTTGTCTAAAATTAAGGCTAATATGTATTATAATTTGTTTGGCGATCGACTCTATGACTGTACGAGACACTCGACTTTGGGCTTATATTTCATAAATTTTTATGACTTGAAAACTAATGAACAAAAATTCGATATTATTATAAGAATAAAAAGTAGTCGAAAAAACAATTTCTATCTTTTTGTAAAAAATAATATATCATAAAAAGGCAGACATATGTGAGGTATTAAAAGGAAAAGTCTTTGACAAGTCTGAGCATAATCTTCACGAATAGAAAGTAGAATATATGGAAGCCTTCAGTATTAGTCCACAAACAGTAGTATTGCCGACAGTATTGTAGTGTTTGGGCCATGACTTGGCTTTTATGCGATCGTCGAGACTCTTTTGAGAAGAGAAGCGAGATTTATGATCTCAAATCTACAGTTCTCTCTCTCTCTCTCTCTCTCTCTCTCTCTCTCTCTTCTTTTTCTTAGATTTATTTTATTTATTAATCTAAATGACGGTAAAGAGTAGATCCTGGGGTTCAATGCCTTTCCCCGTACACTACTATACAGTATATTATCGTCGCTTTAGATTCACTTAAAATAATAGATTCTTCTTAAAAAACAGTATTTTTTATTTGAGTTATAAAATGTTTTGTTTGAATTAGTAGTTAACAAAGACAGCAATGATTTTTAATGAAAACGAGTGCATTGTATGCAAAATATACATAGTTTTGCGGTCAAAGACTTTGAATTAAATATTTAATAGAATGAAAGCATAAATTTTTTACAAAAATATTGTACACCAGATATGAGTTATTAAAGTATTTCTTTGAGCACTACTTTATTTGCACGTCTGTATCGTATAAGCAATTTCGGGCCCAACTCTCCGGAGAGACAGTTATGAAAACCTCTTGTATTCCCAATATTTCTTTCCATTGATTTCGTGATTCTTTCTTAAAATGATTTTTCTGTAATTTTGTTGATTTTGCGTCACTTTTTTCGATAAACATAATAAATTTAAACAACAATTTTATTAATTCTATTCATAATATTGAGTTAAATCTATGTTTTTCAGACAAAACCACTTCTTCACACAAAACCTTAGCACTAAATCCACAACTCATTGAAAGTCATTACAGAAATAAATGGTTTAAACGGCAAAAACTTTACATTCAGTGGAGAAGAACTTCAAAACGATTTGGATGTTTACTGATTGGAGTCGAGGCTAGACTTCGATATAGAGTTGTTGTGGAAATGACCTCATCATCCAGTGATACGACCAGCAGCTCAATGACCGGCACTTCTCCTCTAATAAACAAGATGTCCATTTCTATCGTAGCCACAGATCCCTCCACTATTAAAAAAGGTCTTCTTTGGCAACAAAGGGATCGATTCTTCAGCCGTTGGAAAGAGAGATTTTTTGTATTAACAAAGGATTATTTGTCGTGTTTTAAAAAGGGCTCTAAAGTGGGAATGTCTGAAATGGGAAGCTTTATGTACAAAGTATGCGTTACTTTTAATATAATATGATTATACTTTGAAATTGAATCTATGTTTTAATCACCGATACTCTCAATACAGTTGACACTTATAGACGTTGAAGGGCTTAATTGGGCCGATAAGAAGAAGGATGGAGTCATAGCTATTCGGGTTAGTCTTTCATTAGCAGTAATTCTTTATTGATTTTTAAGTAAATAATTAATTTACAAATATATTCATAAATAAAATATTAATTTTAATGAATTATTAAACATAACCAAAATTGATGTGATTGTGGTTCAGGTGGGAACTGAAGGACAGTTACTTTTGTGGACCAATTCTGGTTTAGATGAATGGATGTTTGCACTGAGAGAAGCTGTTAACCGAAGTAAAGGCAGAAGAGAGGCATTACGTAAATCGCAGACATTATTACCATCGATGACTGGAGGAGGCATTTGGAACCGGTATGTAATCTGTTGTATAGGGTTTAGGGCTTATTGTTATTCTTATCAATTGAAGTAATGATACATAAAATGAAATAAATTCTCTCATAAATTCTTACGGGAAAACAGTTAAACTAAATGAACACAACGTTAAATGCCATTAATTAACGAAATGTTTAATTTCAGGCAAAAGATATCGTCATTGCACTACACTTTGGGTGACAGTCCTTTGGGCGCCTGTAATACGACATCCCGTTTGCAAAGAGCGACGAGCGCTGACTTCACGAGTTGTGAGGACGCAAACCGTCAATTAAGGTCAACCATTCATCACAATCCAACTCCAGTACTGAACCGTCGGTTTCAACGTATATCGGGTTTGTGTTGATTACTAGAAACTCTTTGATTTATCATATCATTCATTGCCCGTCAATACAAGTGACTGAACATTGAAAACCATTGAAACCTATTCGGCGTTTAACACTGTTTTTGACAGATCTTTACTCTCAATGAATAAAATTGAATCAAACTTTTTTTTTATTGCATTGCATTAGTGTTGAGCACAAACATCGATCTGAGTCTTGAGAACGGGTCGGCAGGAGAGCGGAGATCAATGACACCGCACGAAGACCACAACCAATTGGCCAATCGGGCGGGTCTACCGAGATTGGCCCCGCAGTGCGGCGGCGGAACCAACAATAACAACAGCCAATCAAATGCCAATGTAATCGGCAATTGTTCGCAGAATAGTTCTCTTCAGTCGTTAGTATCGTTGGGACGAACCACTGGACAGTTGATGACCCATCAGTTCAATAGACCGAGTCCTCGATCATTGCAAGTGTCGCCCGCATTGGCCCAGCGGTCACTGTATGCACAACACATACTGTCATCGCCAGAGATAATCGGTGTGAATACCACTGACAACAGACACCACCAAATGGCCAAATCGGCTCTCAAGACGGCCACCTCTGAGTTTTCGTTTATACGGCCCGACTCTCCGTTGACTCTTCCACACAATAATCGGGTGCCAAACGCGGCCAACAATAAGAGACCACAATATGTTCGGTCCCAGAGTTGTCTCGAACCGCAACAACAGCACCGAATGGATGGCCCGAAGATGGGAACCAATGTTTACAACAGTGGTGTGAATCGATCGCAATCGGCGTCCACTAAACAGACAATGGAAAGAATGATACAACAGTCGACCCGTCCCTCCAGTATATACGGACAGCCGTCACTCACAGACAAATCATATAATAGTATGAAAAGCAATCATAACAGCAATTATCGTATACAGGAATACGCGAGTTGTGGTGACCCCAGCATAGGCTTAACAAATAGCGGTCAAACCAACGGCTATATGAATGCTATGAACGGCGGACAGAGAGTGAATTTGCGCGACACTAAGTCAATGCCAAAGCGACACATCAGACACTATAAGCCTTCAAAGTCTGATACTATATTTGCCACAACTAATAGACTTCACTCTATTAGCAGTAGTGGAGAGAAAAGTATTAATGAAACCAATGTCTCGACAAATGATAAACTAATTAATAGAAAGCGAATGCAATCAAAGGAATTGTTTGCCGTCAGATGATTGAGAAATTAGAAAAACTTTATCAAAACTTTTTAAAATAACAATTAACTGTAAAAACAATGTTAATAATAATTTACATCTTTTTATATGATATCAATTATTAGTACATAAATAATATACAATTATGTATAATATATGAAAAGGTTTTTTATACAATCTATTATACAATTCTTTATGATTAGCGCACAGAATATAAGTGTGTGTTTGCCTTCATTTCACACGACCTAACAGTGCGGATGAATTTAATATCAATTATTCAAAGAGAATCTAATAAAACAAACAATTTTTTGACAACATTTTAATTTAAATTTATGAACACTTAGTATACGCTATATTAAAGGCATAAATCTTTTTTATATAAAGCAAATTATGTAATGTTTTTACATTTGTTTACTTAACTGTTTTTTACACACAAAAACTATACACTACTTATATAATGTGTACTTATCTTCTAAACATATAAATCTTTGAGAAAATATCTCTTTATGTTTCGTGTTTTACTAAATACCTCAACAACTCTAACACAGAATAAATGTTTACTAAAACCAAAACCAGTAGAGAATAATTGTAATGAATTTGTAAAAATAATTTAACAAAATAATTATTGAACGAATTGTCGGAATATGATATCTAGTCATTAAGATTTCCATTTCAAAAATAGATTACTATAAATATATATGTAATTATATAATTACCTAAAATTTTTATGTAAATTTAAGTGTTGATAAGGAAATAGCAGTTTTATCTATTGTTAACGACTGATTGATATAACATCTCATTATTTGGTGATATGTATTCAATAGTCGAAATTGTAAACCTAATTGTGAATACAAACTGAACGATAAACTAATGTGAAAAAGAATTAATTTTATTTTCAATTCCCAATGGATTAGTGAAAATCAAATGATATATTATATAATATTGTATGAAATGATATATAATATATACATACGTATACATTGTATATATGCTGTATATTGTATAATATAATAGATTGAGGGTTAGGGGCGTTGAACTAACTAGTGATCGAACAATACTCTTGTACTCGTATAGCGAGCGCCGGCTCTTCTCTTCTGTACGAAACGTCAAAGTATTGCAAATATTCTGTAAACGAACCAAAACTCCAATTCTTCCTTACATTTTGTCATTCCTTTAATTCCTACCCATAAATGAAAACTACTTTCTATTTATGTTTACAGTAATGACACCCAGAAATGGGCACCAATTCTTACACCAGAATTTGTCAACAAATATAAAATGTTTATGAATTGAGAATACATTGACGTAAATGTGATTTCATTATTACAAACAAAAAAAATATAAAAATTGAAATAAATTATTGATATTTTATGTCACAAAAACATGAGTGTATTTTTATTTGTAACTATAAGTGCATTCTTATGATTATACGTAATGTTTGTTTTGAATACAAGTATTCAATTCAATGGAAGAGATAATTAATAAAAGAGATATTAGACTAAAAGCATCACAGATTGTGGGTCTCATCGCTCAACAAAATGTCTAAATTATTATTAGCGGTGAATATTAAGTGAGAGTTGATATGAATTACTGTAAATCCATTAAAAATATAGACAAAAACTATGTGCGAATACACATCAAATACAGGCCAAACAAAACAACATAAAAATTTCTATATATTTATTCTTTTTGAAAAAATATTTTTGTTTTCGAAATAACATGTCATATGAATGTCATAAGGATTTATGCCATGAAATGTATGGACTTTGTCTCAAGAGTTCGGGAAATTACTTCTGGATCTCAATGTCATCGACTAATCATATATCGTATTCGGCATTAGTTTGGAAAATAATGTTTGCATTCATTTCATATATTATTCCCATCGAGAATACCGTTCACTTCACATCAGTATTAACCCTTAGATTATTATTATTATTATATAGAGGTTTACATGTAATACACGTGTAATCTTCGCTTATGAATACAAGACATTAGCGATGATAATAAGGACGCAATCCTCAGGATTGCAGTCTTAAAAATGAATAATGCTAACATTTCATTATTACAAGGGATATTACAATAATGAAAACTATTTTAATTAATATATATTCTATAGTTACTGGCATAATATTGGATCCAGGTAAATAAGTGCATTGAATAATGTATATTTGATTATCGAAATAAATACAAATGTGAATGAAATTATAAGCATCGGAAGAGACCATTAATTAGCTAAATGTTTATAACATTATAGACAACGAATCGATCGGTTCCAACTCATACAACTAATTGAGACTTTTATAAAATAAAGGTTTATATATTCAAACAAAGTGTACTAATTATAAATACAAAACACTAAACTATATTTTAAAATATTTAATCAACTTATCCTTAATTTGTCTCCAAATAGCAATGAATTGGAATTATTTTACATTTTAAACAAATTTTAGGCTAAAATAAATAAAAGGATTTTATTGTGTGTTAATTAATAATTAATAATTATAGACTCTATAAAATATAACTACAATATAATAATATCGTATTATTAATACGAATACAATATTTGTTTAGTTAGTTAATTATGATTTGATGAAAATAACGAGAAATGAGTGCAAATAATATACGATTAATAAATATATGAGTAGACCGTATGCTTATATAAACTTTCAATTTATTGATACGAGAATTGAGTGTTTGATAATTAAAGATAAGCCATAATTGCAGACCAATTATAACAATAGATTTGCGGAGCATATCATTGATTTCATGTATCTATTTGTCTATAACTGAAAATCAAATGACAATTAGTTAGAGAAATATTAGTGAAAGCCTCAGAGGAGACGAAATGCATGATTACAGCCAAAAGCCTTCGACGTCCAAAAGCGAAGTCTTTTCAGTAAGTTTTTAATTAAAATTATTGTTTTTTGTTTTGTTATTTATCAGTAAATATTAATTGATTTCATGCAAAAATAAATATTTTTATATTCATTTAAATACATATTTTTTCGATCAAAAATATTTATTAAAATGTATTGAAATGAAGACAAATTACATATATTTATAATATGAATTGAAGGGAATGTGTCGCCAGTGTTGGGGTCTATGTTTAGGTTCAACATCTCCTCAACTGATATGATAATAGCAGAGAAGCGTTTCGTTTATGAAAAACTTTTCTTTCTCTGAACGCCAGAGTCTTTAAACCAACAGATATTCTGTTTATTAATTATAATGTTTTTCATTCGTTAAGTACTATTCATACACAACACAAACCTTTATTCTGTTATTTTTTTAATACTTTTTAAAACAATTATTTAAATTATTATAAAACTAATGGTTTCTAATTAGAGTTAATTTATAATTAAGTGTGTGTTTCTATATAATACCAAATATCGGATATAATGTCTCCAAACAGAAAATTTTTCAGCCGAGATGTTATAGTAAGGCGTTAATGATTGACACCATTTGCTAATGCTTTTGGAAATAATTGAATATTTGATATAAGAGTGCAATTAATTTACAGAATAGCGACCACTCGGCAGAAAACGGCGATAAAGGCTACTATAAGGAGGTGAGGGAACATCTGTTCAAAATTCTGGTGATCGGCGATTTGGGTACCGGCAAGACGTCCTTCATTAAGAGATATGTTCACATGTTATTCTCACAACACTATAGGGCGACCGT